GCCGCCGCCGCCGCCGCCGGAGGAGCCGCCGCAGAAACCGGAGCCGCCGCCGCCGCCGCCGCCGGAGTACTTGACGCTCCCACCGGAGCCGCCGCCACAGCTGGAGCCGCCGCCGCCGGAGTAGCCGCCGCCACAGCCGGAGCCGCCGCCGCCGGAGTAGCCGCCGCCACAGCTGGAGCCGCCGCCACCGGAGCTACCGCCGCCGCCACCGGAGTACTTGACGCCCCCACCGGAGCCTCCGCCACAGCTGGAGCCGCCGCCGCCCGAGTAGCCACCGCCACCGCCGCTATGGAAGCCACAGCCACCGTCACCGCCGCCGCTGTGGAAGCCACAGCCGCCGCCACCGCCACCTCCACCTCCACCTCCGCCGCCGCCGCCGCCGCCGCCGCCGCCGCCGGAGGTCTTCCCGAAGCCCACTGGGGGCTGGGGGGTGGGCTGCTTTCTCTGGTGAGACATCTTGTCTGAGGAAGGGGAACCTGGAAGGAGACGGAGAGCATCACTGAACCAGCGGCAAGAGGAGGCAGCCGCATCCATGGCAACAACCACCACCCTCGCAGCAACCTGCCTGGACCAGGCTCCGTGCTCTGTGCAGGTGCCTGGAGCGTGTCAGCTGGGACTTCTAGGACTGCTGCTTTTGGAAGAGTTTAGTTCCCCTCTCCCCCGCGCCCACCCACCTCGGCAGAAACTTTTCACCAAACTTTAAATAGCCCAATTAGTGGTGCCCATTCTCCCTCTTCCAGCTCTGCCTCTGGTCTCTGTTGTATGATTTTGGGGCAGATCACCCACACTCCCGCCTGTTTACCACCTTCTATAAAATGAGAGGGTTTGAATACTTCATCTCTCGGGTCTTTCCAATGCCAACATTGATTCTCTGAGTGCAAATAGAAAATTACCACAAACCTCTACCTAAGATGGGGGATTTTACCCCATTCCCAGCACAACAGAAGGAGGTTTGTCGGTCTCCATTGTGTGAAGGGCTGTTTTATTCCATTCTCTGCAAAAGTCCTTAGTTCAAACTCTTGGTCTGACCCACTGAGGTAGGCCATGATCCAACGGCTATTTATTAGAAAAGACAAGCTCTACCATGGTCCCGTCTGGAAACAGGAGAAAGGACTCTGATGGTCCTTTGGACCAGCATCTCTGACCAGAAGATATCAGCCATGGCTTTTATGATTTGCTTAAGTGCAGGCTTGGTAGAGGGGACTGTAACGAGTGGGAAGTTGTATCCCAGAGTCTCATAAGTCATTTACCTCTCAGAACTTCTGCCTCCGTAAAACAGGAACTGGGTTTCTGTGGCTGCTAAAATCCCTCCCACCTGTAACTTTCTCTGAATCGTTCTCCTTGCTCTCTGAGGGTGCACTCAGCCTCTCTTCCTGATAGCTTCATGAGGTCCACTCAGCCCATGCACAGGCTGTCTTGGACAGCCTCTGTAGAGTCCTCCCTCTGTGCCCAGCACCATGCCTGCCTCTATGAGGGAACCAGAGAGGCAGGAGACAGTCTTATCTATGTTTTTTTTTTTTTTGAGACAGAGTCTCATTCCATTGCCCTGGGTAGAGTGCAGTGGCATCATCATAGCTCACTGCCACCTCAAACTCCTGGCTCAAGGGATCCTCCTGCGTCAGCCTCCAGAGTAGCAGGGACTACAGGCATGCGCCACCAGGCTGGCTCTTGCTCAGGCTGGTCTCAACTCTTGAGCTCAAGAGATCCTCCCACCCTGGCCTCCCAGAGTGCTAGGATTACAGGCATGGGCCACCGCGCCTGGCCCAGAAGACAGTCTTATCTTTGTGGAGTTTATATTCTATCTAGAAGATCAGAAACACCACCTGCATGGCAGCAGTCCTCCTCCCCTTTCCTGATGTGAGCACAGTTGGGAGAGCAGAGATCCTGTATCTCCCAAAGGGGAGAGAGACTCTGGTTCACCTAACTTGTGCAGGCCTGGGCAAAACCAGCTGAGAGGATGAGATAGCCACTAGAATCCACACTTACCCGAACCACCAGGAAGGGTGAGTGAGAAGATGCTGGTGATGTGAGGAGCACTGAACTCCCAAAGTTATATACTGTCTGAGAACCATGACTCATCGATTGTGATTGAGGCCAGTTTTTTGTGTTTGGCATTTGTTACGTGACCCATGGCCGTCAGCCCCACCTCCCTGTGATTGCAGGCACAGGGTGGCCCATTCATGAAGATTTTGGCATTCTCGAGATAGGCAGCCTAGTGTGTGACTGGCCCCTTCTCTGATGCAACAGTGTGGGTGGTCAGCAGGGACAGCTAGCCAGAGCGGATGGCAGACATTGTTTCCAAAGCCTCTAGCGTGGCATACATGCCAGGCAACCAGAGGACTGTGCCCAAGGGATAGGTCCCGGACTCTTGAGGTGGCCTGAGAGAGTTAAACTGGAGATTTCAGTCTTTTGTCCCAAGAGTAGACCATTGAAATCCCACTGTTTGGCTTCTGATCCCATTGCTCTGAAAATCCTCAGAACTTTAGAATCTGTTCCTCCTTTGTCAAAAATCTCTAGGGTTTCCCATGTGCTTCACTGGGGTGTTTCTGTCTAGCCCACTGGGCTTTAAGGGTGGACAAGGCCCCAGCACCCAGTTTTGGACTGTACAGCATGGACAGTGCTGTAACTAATGTGACACTGGTGGATACTTTGATTTGCCCCCGGAGACAGCAGGTGTCTGAGAAAGTTTGAGAAAGATCATCAATACTGACTTTTCGTGCAAAGGAGCAAACTAAGGATATGGATCATGGCCCTTTGGCTCTGATGTCCTTTGGTGTTGTGTTGCAACACGGACCTTGGCCTGAAGGGCAGTCATGGAATAGAACAGACTTGAGGTGATTGGGGTTAGGTGCTCCCTTTACTACTTAACAGCTGTGTCATCTTGGACAAAGTCATAGCACTTAATGCAGTACCTGTATGTGGGAGGCACTCAGTAAATATTTGTTGACTGTGGCATGATCAGGCTTTCTTACCCTTAGTTACCTTGTTTATCAATAAGAATAGTAATACCTATTTCATAGGCATATGAAGAGGGAATAATTACATAAAGTAAAGAAGGTGATGCTGTCTTTTTTGTTGTTTTCTCATATAACAGCACATCCTTACTTCCGACTTGGGCTTCCCTTGGACACCAAGGCCAGGAAAGAGTCCATGGAGAGAAGAATTACTTGAATTGCTTGAAGCAATTCTTCTCCTGGGAGAATAACTCAGAGCTTCCCTGTTGACTCTGGACCAGTAGCATCACCTCTGCTATGAAGAACAGCATGCTTCTCTTTCTTTCGTCACCGGAACTCAATTGCTATTGTTTAAGATACCACATTCGAACTTTGTTCTGCCCATCTATGTGTTGACATGACAGCTCCAATAATTAATTGACTGTTAATTATGGTATACTTTTAATGATCCAAATGATCCCGATTAGGCTGTGGCCTTCAGAAACTAGTGGTACAAGTTTCAGTTTGGATAGCATGAACCCAGCTGAAGCCAGGAGGAACCCGGGTGCTCTCCTCCTTAGAGGATACTCAGGAGGGACAAGCCAGGATCTGTTGGAGAAGGCAGGTTTCTCAGCTTGAAGCTGAGGCACCATGGAGACTTTGGAGGGAAACAGGCCCCAAGCAGTGATTGCTGTGGGTATAAAAAAGAACATGGTTCTTCTTTCTCATGGTTCTCAGACAGTATATAACTTTGGGAGTTCAGTGCTCCCCACATCACCAGCATCTTCTCACTCACCCTTCCTGGTGGTTCGGGGAAGTGTGGGTTCTAGTGGCTCTCTCATTCTCCCAGCTGGTTTTGCCCAGGCCTGCACAAGTTAGGTGAACCAGAGCCTCTCTCCCCTTTGGGAGGTACAGGACCTCTGCCTTCCCAACTGTGCTCACATCAGGAAAGGGGAGGGGGACTGCTGCCATGCAGGTGGTGTTTCTGATCTTCTGGATAGAATATAAACTCCACAATATAAACTCCATCGGAGAGGGGTGTGGCCTGACTAAATAAATGAGAGCCCACAGGGCAGTCCCCGTACTGCGCTGTGGGCCCTCATTGGCCCATTGGCGTGTGCTCCCCAGTCCTTAGGCAAAGTGTAAGTAGAAGGATGTCAGTAGGGCATTCTTGGGAAGGAAAGTCTTCAATTCTGAAATCATGGCCTTCCTACATTTTCGTGTGTTAAAATATCATTTCTTTAAAAAGTGACGATGACATGAGGCTGTAGTTGTTTCTTTCACATTCTTACATGTCAAAATGGAAACTTGGCAATCACATAATGGTTGCCACATTTTTTCAGGAAGATGTTATTTCTCCATGGTATTCTAAAATTTGGGAACTTCAAGTACAGTCAACTGTAAAGAACTAATAATCTTTGAAATTGTCCATGTTGGTTTTGAAGGTTCATGTTCTTCTAAGAAAGATATGGTAATTTCTTTCTATTGATCAGATTTCAGATCCTAATTCTTTATTCATGAATCCAGGCAACACAAGTGTGACGAGCACTATGCCAGGCATCAGAGAAGAGCCAGAAGGCTTTCTGAAGTCATGCATGTATCTTCTTGGTAGAGTTGGGGGTGTGAGCAGTGCCCCATACTTGTCTCTGCCACCCTTTATAGCATTTAATAAGGAAAAACTTCTAAGTACTCCATCTACCTAGTCAACATGTAGAGGAGGTTGATGTGACATGAGTTTGTGACAACAGTGCCAGATTCTGTGCTCTCAAGCCCTGAGTTAGCCTTGCCTGAAGCGTGAATATACAAGCCTGGCTTTCATTTAATCCCTCCAGATCAGAAGTAGTCCTAATGGGATATCTGTGTGACCAACAACTGATTATCACCTTTTATCCTATCAGTGAGGAAATAATGGGAGTTTGTGGAATTATTACACATAGGTATTTGGGGTTTTTTTAAGACTTGGCAGGTGAGTTTTTTAACATTTATAGTCTTTTGACACTTAATCCTGAAATGTGAGCTTGCTAGCCTGACTAACTTCTGCATCATGACAGATCAGGACATGGTTCTTGCCTATACTTGTACTCTTAGAGGAGATGATCCTTAAAGCAAATGTTTTACAGTGTCCAGGGGGCTTCTGGGCATCACTAGGTATTCAGTAAAGTCTGGTGGAATTGAAGGAACTCTTGAGACCTATTGACTGACACCATATTGACTGACAGTGGTTGAGAGATGATCCATTCAGATGATTAGGAGTGGAGGGTTTCAGCTTGGAGCTATAGATTAAACCTAGCCACTGTGTAGAGTGAGCAAACTCTATGCAGAGAATCCAGGGCCAGCCATAGAAGTGACGTTTGCTTAGTGGAATCTCAGCCTGCTTCCCCCCGACCAGCCTCTCAATATCTCTGGTGGACAGGCCCCATAGAGGAGGTGTGTCCTTGTGCATGTGCTTGTGTGTGTGCATGTGTATGTACATGTGTGCATGTGGATGTGTGTGCATGTGTACGCATGTTCTGTAGATATGTG